TTCAAAGAGTAATTTAAAAATAATAATTTCTAATAACTTCTACTTCCTATGCGCTGCTCAACAAGAATTTTTCAGGTGCAATAAAGATGGAGTGAGACTTTTATAAGACAGAAAACATGTTGCTGAAGTAATATATATTAATGTTTTCTTTACATTCAACTATTAGTCATTAAGCATCGCTTATTTCAGGGCTTCTTAAACTTTTTTCAGTCGTGACCCCTTTTTATCACTAAGATTTTTTTCGCGACCCAAGGCCCCATAATATTTACGAAAATTTTGTGGAACCCTATAAGCATTGTGCAAAATCCTACACACACGTGCATAAAACTGTTAATTTTTTTCACTTGTACTGCAATATACTATTGCATATATAGTATATAGCTTTAGGTTATTAACTTTAATTTCTAATTTTAAGACATAGAACAATGTGAAAATTTTTAAATAAGTAACAGGAGAAATGACAGCGTCACGTGCAAAGCAAGTAAAATGAACATTTATATTATAAAAAGAATGCGTCGAAACGTTTTCGTTTTTTTCTTTCTCTGTATTGTCTTTATCTTTATCTATTTTCAGATACATCGTGTAAAAATATTTGGTAATTATAAAATTATTACAATAAGTTAAAGAAATATCAAAACTGCTAAAATTTTTGGCGACACCCTGCTGCAGGTCCCATGGGGGTCGCGACCCACACTTTTATTAGGATAATAGCATTAATATTTTTCTTAGCAGACTCTAAAAAACCTTGAATAAGGAAAATCCATAATGCAAATCGATAATAGTCAGCTCTGACAGTCATCTTCTATTATAAGTCAACCATCTCCACAGAAGACCAAATTCTTCTGGAACCGTTGGTGATCGCCTTAGAGAAAAATCCATTCTTAGTTTGACAACCATTTTCATATTATAGAATTTTTTTTTCTTTTTCCGTGAAAGATCTTTAGTAGGATAAATAATATGAGGCAAATCAAGAATACATTTTACAGAAGACTCCGTTTAAAATCTTGAATATAATTTTATTGAAAAATATCTTCTGACAGCAGTCATGGCGGGCTGACATCCTGTCTTGTTAGCCCAAAGGGCGTCAGCCCAGAAGGGCTATTAATTTCGTTTGGCATTTTGTGGCGTTTCACTATAAACGGCGTTTCACTTTTCAGATTGTTGCTACCAAATATTATCGTCCTGTATCATATTTAAAGAAAATAAATAATGAAGTATCTGCATAAATGTATGTATGTCAAAAGATATGAGCTTTTTAAATTATTTTGTGATACTGCTGTTGGGCTGAGTTTTATAGTTTAAGCGCGAAGACTATGATATTTAATGACTAAATGCAATACACAAAATGTTTTTTTAACATTTTGTGTATTGCATTTAGTTATTAATAACGTCCATTTGAGCGCAATATAAAATATGAAAACTTTCAGATTTTTTTAAAGTTTATTCATAAACTAAAATTAAAGATTTACGACCGCTGTTCAAGAGATATTTCATCATGCTATCTTTTTGAAATCTGTTTCCTTCTTCCCTTAACATGAAAGTTCTCTCATTTAAAGCACACAAGGTGTTCCCAGAACACATTAAAAAATCGCATAAAATCTGCAAATTGATACCGTAAACATCACAGTACTGTTGCACATAAACTCAAATTACACAGATGGAAATTAGTTTTGAATAAAACAAGTTTTTAGTTCATATTTTTACGGAAAGATGGTATTGTATTTCCAAAACCGCAAAAAATATGCAAACTTGCAATTTTTAACAGAACATGAACAATTGACAACTCACGATGGATTAACCCATTAATAGTAGTATCTAATACATTTTCAAATGCAAATGAAGTGATGCTGTATTTTTTTCATTTAACGGTGAACAATTATTTATCGATTGAAAGCTGAATGAAAATGTTAATTATGCTTCTTCCTCCAAGAAAAAAAAAAAAAAAAAAAAAAAAAAAAAAAAAGGAAATCCTACAAATCACATAAATGAATTATATAAAAAATATTTAATTGACTAACACATATGACTTTACCTACCTGTTTTACAATATTTACAGACAATTTTTACGAATTTTGAACATTATTTTAAGGGTGTTTCTCGAATTATTCCTGAATTACGAGGGATATTTTCAATCTTCAATTTTAGGAAAATGTTTATTGAAATTTTATTATAATCTTTATTCTATTGCAGTGTATTTTATATTACGCTATGATAAAATAAAATTGTGAGAAAAGAATATTTACGTGACGCTTTCCAGATTTACTTTGCAATTTAAGCTGTTCAGCTTTAAAAATGGTTTGTTTGGAACAAGACGGATATGAGTTATTTACAAGTAGATCAAATTTTTATGATTTTCATGGTAATGGCAACACGTAAATTTGACTGCGATGCCGTCTTTCGCATACTGTTTGTTGGTGACCGCAATATTTTATTCCTGTATTCCCTGTATTCTTCCATTTTGTGTGGACTCAGAGAAGACGCCTGCCGCTTCTTTTCTTATATTGGACGCTTCCAGTTTCTCGAAATCTAGTTACCAAGCGGAAAATCACTGTCTTGTTAGATTCATGAGCATTTGAGAATGTCTGTTTAAAAACCTTTTCATGAGAATGTATTACGAAGCGCATTCAATCATAAAAATGATGCTGATGCGCTCAATCATAAATAAATCGTTCTGCTTGAGAAGGCAAGGCTCATCTCCAACTTTCACTAAATAAACAGATTTTAAAGCTAACAGCATAAACTGCAACTCAAATTTCTGGTGTTATCCAATGAAAAAATTTGTTTTTTAATATACGTTTTGGAACTTCCACGATTTTTGAAAATTTGATATGCGCGACGTTTGAATCCTCCTGTGCTAGCCATCGTTTCTTGCGAGATTACGGGAACTCGGTTATTTAGAGCAACACAACACACAATCTAACTTTCAACTACCAACTTCTCTTCGGCTATGGAGATTCTAATCCTACGCTGAAATGCATATAAAATGCATTCACCAGTCCACAGATCGATTAGATGAAAGATCTTCTCTTCACGCATTCATCTGTATTCAGGAACTGAGAATATTCTGTCTAAATTGCAACTTTTCTCCTTATCTGAATCCAAAATAATTTGCATTCTACTGAAAGCTGACATAAAATGTAGAAAGTACAGAAAAGAATTTATATAAAAAGTTTATGGTAGCTAAAATAAGCCCTATAAAATATTAGGTATTTTATCTTATTTTTTTCAGCTAAAACTTTGTTTAGTAAAAATCAAGATTATAACTTAAAAGTAATAGCAGCGAAATATATGATTCTTTTGCGAAAATTTCTAATATAAAATTACATATAATACAGAGGTCAGTAAACGTTTAAAATATTTCTATTTCGGTAAATTTGAGCATATAGTAATATAATTAAAACCGAAATACATGCAGTTGAGGATTTTTTTTAAATAACTTTATTATACGAATTTTTACCTACAGTATGGAGAACAGAAGATATTGCACCTTGAAATTCAGAATGTATGACTCTGTTTTGTGAACTATAACTGTCAAAAGTAAGTATTTGCTGATCTAGCAATATTCATAACATAGATGAAGGCAAGCTTTGGATTTTATGGACTGATAATTAGTTTCATAGCATGCAGGTTAGATTATTAACCCGTATTACGTCTCTCTTGCTTTCGACTTTTGGTAAGAAATACATAAATCAACTGTTTCTCTTAAATACGAGTGGATATTCAGGTTTCCAAATCCGAAAGTGATTTTTTTTTGTTCCAACTATAAGTATATCGTCCAACAATATATATTGTGAAGTATAGCTATGCGAATCCAGTTATTAGTTGGTTCCTACTAAAATGCTGCTTGTGTTACTCATACGTTTTCAGGCAGTGCACATTTCACATTTATTATCAGGCAATGTATGTTATATTACCAATATGTTATATACCATATATTTTTTAAAAATTTAATACGTTGGGGTCCTTCTATATATTATTATACAAACAAGACAATTGAATGTATATGAGATAGATGAATCAAATATATTTAAGTTTAGCTTGCTTCCTAAGACATTAAAATGTTTATTTTAAAACTGCTATAAATATCATTCAAAACAATCAGTCTAATGATGTAAAATAAACGTTGGTTCTAAGCCCTCGGGCACCATGGCCCCCGCCGATCGTTTAACATGTGCGTGCCATTGTGTGATCACAATAAAAGTGTTTTAGTTTTCAGTAAAATTCTATGTGAAAGTTTTCTCATTTTTAATGACACAGAAATTGCGTACAACAGCGACCGATCTCTTTTTGTCATGTGCATGTATTATTAACTCTATCCAACTATAAATTTACTTTGAAAAAGTAAATAGCACCCGTCTTGCAACAGATATTCTAGAATATGCTCTTAGGGACAAAAAGGTTGGGGACCCTTTATGTAGAGTTAGAATTCCTTATCCTCAAAACAGTTGAAAATTATAAAACAAAGTATCAACATTAAATTTTCTGTATATGAAAATAATATAATTTTGCAGACTGAGAGTAAATATAATGTTTACCCCCCCCAAAAAAAAAAAAAACAATTTTTAGCAAAGCGGAAATGCGAACCGCGTTCTAAAAATAGTTGAAAATCAATTATCTTCCCAAAATTCATAATTGTTTCGTCAATCTTCTGTTTATTTTAAACTTGTATTAAAAATATAACACGCTGAGCTCATATTCAGTTCGTTGAAGACGCGTTTTAAAATTCTATTTAATATTCAATACTTGACTATCTCAGCATGCGGTTGAAAATGGCGAAGAGTTAATATCCGGAGATTCTTTAAAATGCTTCATACCCAAGGGGAGATTACTAAGATTAAACAGGAAAACTACGACCTTAGATAATACTAAAGCAACCAACTCACTCAATTACAACTTAGCAAGCGAAAATGAGGCTGTCCCACTAGCCCACTGGTAGGAAAGAAGCATCACAAAATGGCCCCCTGGCGGTGGTCGAAGTAGGTCGCCCGGCTTTAGACTCCGCGTGTTCTTCAGTTCTCTTTCTGAGCGAGGTAGAAAAGGATGAATTAGTGTTTCTTTACGAAAAACAGTTTTTGACAAGTTTTTTACCCCTTCTGCCTCTCCCCCCCAAGAAAATATTTGGGCTTTATCCATGACTGCAAAATTTTAAAGGTAAGGTTAAATTCTGATTTTTTTTTTTCTTTATTTTATTTTCCTGAGAAAATTATTTGCATTTTAGAAATTTATAAAAATGTGAAAAAGAGGGAGATTTAAAGCAAAAAGCTGGCTTTTTGATACAATTTAGAATTATTATATTTATTAAAATATTGTATTATTAAACTTTATTTCTGCTATTTGATTACAAATAAATAATACCTTAATTCATTTAATTAAAAATAGTAGACAAACAAAGGTTTTCTAATGCAAAATTTTTAACTTTATATCTGGTTTTGCTTCATTAAATTAAAGTCATCATATTTAAAACTTTTAGCTAATTGATGTTTTAAATAGTTTGGGAGGTTTTATTCAAAAAATAAACTTAAACTCAACTCCATTTTCTTTCCTATTTTTTCATAAACAAATAAATAAGTAAAAGAAAAATAAAAAATTATTTTTACAACAAGTTAAAAATTATGAAAGTGTTTTTTGAATTACCATAAAATGCTGCGTAATTGTACCAGACCATATAATTTCGGGCGTACCTAAAAAGTGAATCTTAATTTAAATGCTTTATTGTTTCATCAAAACAGAATCTTTTGCTGTTTGCGCTAAATTCCAAACAGCAAACCAGACTGTGAGTCAATAATACACAATCATAGAAAGATATAAATTTATTTACTGAAACAGTTTTAACACACCGGTTCTTATCATAATTAAAGAAATGTTACGAACATTATTTAAATAAAAGCTGAGAAACAAACAAAATTTTGATAATCTCTCAAATAAATTCTGAGTATTTATTTGTAAACTGTTTACTTTAGTACTATTTATAAATAACTAATTTGTAAGCTACTTATTTACATTATCTTATCAAAATTGGAATAGCTCTGTTACTCCTAGTGTTTTAAGATTTTTTCATTTTTTAGTCATAACTAAGATTTCAGATAAGCTGTTCTACCGAGTGTCTCATTAGCGAATCATTTTTATTCTTTCCTAAATATACGAGTTAGCATAATATAAAAGAAGAAAAGGAACGCATCAGATTTGAAGTCATAGCTCATGCTTAGCTTGAATTTATGATGAGTTCTACGACAACTTGATGGTACTATTTTTTAGAGTGAATGTTCTTGCTGTTTCGAAGTAACATTTGACCAGTGAGTGACATTAAATTATTTTATTTAGACCGTTGAGTGGAGTGTTTGAAGTTTATATTTTTAGTTTGGCTGTCGAGTTTATAAACATTTTTATAAAAAAATGCAGTTAATAAGTTTGAAGATAATTATTTTTTCCTATTGCAATTCTAAACAATTATTTCCCCCTTGTAGAACATGCAAGTCTGCGATAGATTGTAATTTGCTTCCTCTTCTTATATTATGTTATTTCAGGTTTCGTTTGTCAATATTCTCTTTCTATCTATTTTTTTTTCTTAAGTCCTGTTGAAGGAAGACCCTCCAGGATCTAACTTAAAACGATGTTAAGCCATTCTGTTCACCTAGGCGTAACCTAGGATAAGGTTAAGCCAATTTGGGACCCTAAACATATTTTCAAGGGATCCGATTGCCACTTTTCTTTGTTTTAATGAGGGAAAAATGGATTTTGAGAATCAGGGGTGATGAAGATGATTTGGGATGCTAGACCCGGATTTTTCTTACCTAGGTGGAAATCGTATCCTGGTCTTATCAAATTATAGGCAAATAAGAGTGGAATTCTTAAATGCCTGCGCGATTATTTTTAATATTTTCGCAAACTCAAAGGATTAAGAGACTGCTACCAAAGTAATTTAATTAGTACAGAATTTCGGTTACTCCGAATCTAATAACTCGAAATTTTTTATTAGTCGAACTCTCTCTTTCTGTCTGCATTTTTATAAAGTTAGCATTAAATCAAAATTTAATGATAAGTTGTCTTCTTTATAAGTTGAATTTCTTTAAAACACGAAATGCTCTATAAGTAGATCTTCAATCTAATTAAAATCTTTTATAGAATTCTTAATTTACCGTCTCGGGTTTTGCTGGCTTGTTTAATCACAACAAATAATAAATACGTTCATCTTCTTGTAAGTAACTGAAAATGTATTAATAAAAATTGGAATTTTTTTGAAATGTAATTTATGCGTTTTTTTATTTAGATAAAGCAAAACTGTGCTGTTTAAAACTCTGCATTTTTACTCTATACTTTAAAGCATTTAATATTTTCTTTAAGTAATCGAAAGATAACGCTTTAAAGTATAGTTTTGTAAGAATGTTTAAAATATTTCCTCGTAATATTTCTCTCTCTGAAGGGAAAAACTTGCCACACAGCACAACTTCATGCGACGGTAATATTCCATTTATGCAGTGCCCGTGCGTACCCACAAATTTCTGTAAAGTTACACTTGTGCTTTTAATTTCTGGCCACATAATAGATTAAAAAATACCTACCTAAAAGTATTCATGATAATTTAACAAATTTTTGTTAGTTTTTATTGGGTAATTAAAAAAATCAGGATTTTATATTTAATTATTCCAATAGACAAAAATCTATATTACAGCAATAATTCAGAAAAACGATGAGTGAAATGATTCTCAGTGTATTCTTGCATTCTGTAACTAAGAAAAACTGAAGTAGCATAAGAATATATAAGAATATAGTATAAGTAAGAAGAATATAGTAACTTAGATTCAGTGTTAGTCAAAAAGCAACTATTAAAACTATAATTTGAAATTAATTATTATTTAATGTGAATAGAATGAATGAATAGAATTATAGTTTAAGAATACAAAATGAGAAACAAAATTTATGTATTGGATAAATAATTTTACTTGCCTTCTAAAATTATTATGTTTCTGAAAAAGGTTTTAGCAAAGCACTGACTATAGGGAAAGTTTAAATTTTAAAATTCAGAACTACATATGTAAAGTTTAAAAACAATTCAGTACGGACATAGCTATGGAGTGAAATTATTTGCTTCATCATCGTTATGAAAATTTTTATGTCCTTGCTTTTTATTTTCTTGTTCCTGCCTTGAAAACATCATTGCGCTCTTTCATAACTTGCTTACCTTTCAAAGAAATGACGATTTTCGTAATGACCATTTTCTTTTGATGATGTCATCTGTATTTTTAAGTAACGATGAGCTTTGTAGAGGTCGTCTGCTTTTGTGCTGATTGAAATTCTGATGCTAAAAGAAGTTTTGAATAAAATTTAGATTTTTTTAAATAGGCTAGCTTAAAAAGATGGAAGCTTAATTTGACAGTTGAAATTTGGCTCATTCGTTAATTTTTTTTAAAATCAAGAAACATTGAAGTGTTTGATAGAAGATTAACATCTGAAAATGTGGAACTTGATTTTTTAGCATTCTGCTTACATATCGCCTTAAATGCAGCTTAGAAATAAGCGAGAATGTTTAGTTTTTGATTGTAAAAAATTTTTAATTCCTATAACTGAAATTATAAAATGTGAATTTTTCCAAAGTGTGCATATTTACTCAATTTTCTTTTTTATACTCTATTTTTTTCTAAAAATAAAATATTAAGTTAAAATTTATTATCCTTCTCTTAGAGAGGGAAATAGCGCATCACATAATTCTTCCAATATTACTGAAATAGCAATCAAAATCTCATACAATAAATGGAATACATAAATTTATCACATTATTTTGCAATGAAAAACCTTCTAGCATCTGAAAGAATCGTTTCATTGAATTTTGTAATGATATTTGAGTAGAATCTGTGTTATCTCAACGTTCTATTCAAATCTGTTTCAAGTACACATGATTAGGAATTCGTAAATTGGTAATTAATTTGTAATTAGGAAAAGGAGAAATTTGCGATAAGAAAGAAAGAAATGCTATGTTTAAAGATATAGCAGTTATTAATATCGTAAAAAGTTCCGCATATCCTGACAGAAATTTAAACTAAAAGAAGACTTGAGCGATAATTAGATTTGCTTTGTTTAACACAAAGCAATATTGGCAAAATTGTTAAAATAACCAAAAACTAAATACCATTAACTTTTTTTAAAAAAAAATTCAATATGCTTTCTCAAAATCTATGAAAAATAAGAATTCTGAGGCATCAAACAAAGTAATATTTCCTAGGAGATAATTTAACATATTTGTTTAGAAATATCAACTTTTAGAATGGAGGGTACCAAAAAAGAATTAAAAAACAAAATTGCACTTTATTCAAAGAAAGGTTACGAGGTAACGATTGTGTCACCTGTTAAAAGCGAGATTTTTAACTTTATTGAGGCATGGAAAGGAAAACAAAATACTGGTATTTATAAATGGAATTTGAAATCATCAGCACGAAACTTTAACCTGCAAAGCAATTCCAAATTTTACCAAGACAACGATTCTGTGATCCTAAGCCTACAGTTAGCGATGTGCGACTTAAGCTATTCTCTTACTTTTCTGAAATTTTCAAAAATCTCAGTTCCCAAACCTTAATATACTTGGAAGAAAATTAAAAATAAAATAAAACAATGAAGAGACTATATATGTGCACAGATACAAAAAATTTGAAAGCTTTCAGATTTTACATTACTCCCAAAGAGGCGTTTATTTAACGTTTAACGACCTTTATTTATTGAATATCATGTTTTTCGCACATAAACCATAAAACTCAGTTCAACAGCAATATCTCAAAATAATTTTAAAATGAGCATATTTTTAGAATTTCCGATACACTGGAGATAAATAAGGTTTTTCTTTTCCCTCCGTACAATGTTGCCATTTCTCGCTTTAAAATAGTTGCGTTTCTTAATAAAAAATTATTTAATGTCTGACAAAATATGAAATTGATAATAAAGCAAATTCAAAATTAAGACTTCCAGATACCCATATTCGGTGGAGGATTACTTTATTCAAAATTTGATGGCCTCTAGATACCGTTGTTTTATCACAATACGAGAAACATTACATACATTTATGCAGATTCTTCATTATTTAATTTCTTTAAATATAATACAGGGCTGTAATGTTTGGTGGCAACAGTTTGAAAAGCGTTGAAGTGCCAAAACGAAATTAATAG